CTTCAAATAACATGCCTAGTGGTTGCTTGTTTTGTGATGCATGTGGATCTTATGATCATGACTCTTGTAATTGCCCTCATGCTTCTCCGGAATGTGGTGATGATTTTGATAATAGTGAGAGTGAACATGTGAATTATGTGTCAAATAATAATGTGCAAAGGTTTGATAATCAATGAGGTCAATGGAATAGGAATTACCAAAACCAAGGTAATTTTGACAACTATAACCAAGGTGGTGGTTATAGGAACCAAGGGAACCAAAGTTCTCGTGGCAACTATAATAATCAAGGTTATAGTAGTCAAAATCAAAACCAAAATTATGGTAATCAAAACCAAAGTTATGGAAATCATAACCAAGGTAGTGGAAACCATAATCAAGGTTATGGTCAAAATCAAAATAGGGGTAATTGGAACAATCAAGGTAGGGGCAATTTTCAAAATAATTCTCAAAGAGGTCCCCCACCCGGATTTGTTCCAAAGACTCAAGTGAAAATTCCTATTCACAATCTTCTTCTTCTAGGACCAATTTGGAGGAAATAATTGAAAATCAAACCAAGTTGTTGAACACATATATGGCCGTTAGTGACAAGAAGTTCAATGAAATGATGACCCACAACAAAATGCTCGAAAACCAAATTTCTCTACTTGCTAGTGCTTTGAAAGACCAAGCAAGCCCTTCTTCTTTACCTTCCCAAGGCCTAGATCCCAAGAAACCCGTGAATGCTATTGTTACAAGGAGTGGTAAGGTTCTTGAGGAGAGATTTCCTAGGAGGAGTGATAACAAGGAGGTCCCCAAGGAAGTTTTGGTTGAGAATTAGGGAAGTAGAGCATCTTTAGATGAGGTTGTGGTTGAGACACCAAGAGAGGTGAGAGTAGAGAAAAAGATTGTGAAACCCAAGCTCCCTTATCCCCAAAAATTCATGAGACACAAATTGGATGAGCAATTTGGGAGATTTATTGATATACTGAAACAACTTCACCTTTCTCTACCTTTCACCGATGTGATCAACCAAATGCCTAATTGTGCCAAATTCCTCAAAGACATTTTGAGCAGAAAGAGGACTTGTGATGTTGTGGAGACAATCAATTTGACTGAAAATTGTAGTGCGATCATCATGAACAAAATGCCACCAAAGTTGAAAGACCCCGGAAACTTTTCCATCCCTTGTTATATTAACAAGATGCAATTTGATAATGCCTTATGTGACTTAGGAGCTAGTGTAAGCTTAATGCCATATTCGGTTTATCAAAGACTCGATCTAGGGGAACTCTTACCTTCTAACATTACCTTGCAACTAGCCGATAAGACAATCAAGTTTCCAAAAGGTAAAGTGGAAGATGTTCCATTGAGGGTTGGGAAGTTTGTGTTCCCGGTGGATTTTGTTGTCTTAGAAATGGATGAAGATACTACCATTCAAATTATTCTAGGTAGACCCTTTCTTGTTACCTCAAGTGCTATGATAGATGTAAAGTGTGCAAAGATTTCCCTCAAGGTAGGAGATGAGGTCATAGAATTCGATTTGAATGAAAGCATGAAATATCCAAGTTCTTCTCTTGAAAATTTCATGATGATTGACTCTCTTGATCATGTTGTGTCTTCCATGCATGAGCACTTTCTCACCTCTAACGATGCTCTTGAGAATGCTTTGTTCAACAAAGACGAGTTAGGTGTACCATGCAAGGAGGTAGCATTGTATGAGGAATTGCTTAATGGAAGCATGGAGGAAGTGGATGAACAATTGTGCTTGAAGATCTCAAGCCATGAAGCTTTGCAAGCGGCCGCAACAAAAGAAGGTAAAGGTGTGCCTATGGTAGAGCTCAAACTTCTACCATCACACCTTAGGTATGAATTCTTAGACCCAAATTCCACTTACCCCGTCATTGTTAGTGCATCCTTGAGCGAGAGCCAAGCTCAAGAGTTATGTTGTGTCTTGAGAAAGCACCAAGGTGCTTTGGGCTATACTATCGATGATCTTAAAGGTATAAGCCCCGCTTTGTGTACGCACCACATAACGCTTGAGGAAGGCACCCTTCCTTCTATTGAACGACAAAGAAAGCTACACCCTCAAATGGGAGAGGTGGTGAAAAAAGAGATCACCAAGATCTTGGATGCGGCAATCATATTCCCCATCTCAAGCTCTAGGTGGGTTTCTCCCGTTCATGTCGTTCCTAAGAAGGGGGGTATGACCGTAGTCAAGAATGAGAGTGGTGGAGCTCATTCCAACTAGGACGGTCACCGACTGGAGGATGTGTATAGACTATAGACGTCTAAATACATCCACCAAAAAGGATCACTTTCCCCTTCCATTCATTGATCAAATGTTAGAGAGACTAACAAGGCACAAGTTCTAATGCTTCCTTGATGGCTATACCGCGGCCCTCTGATCATCCTTTGGGAGCAGGGGATTCGCCGCGCTTTTGCTGCGGGCTCGGGCTATAAGACCCGCGGGCGCGGATGTTTCCCAGAAAGCCCGCGGAGTTTTTAATGGGTTTCGTACCCATTTTTCCGCGGGCGCGGGGTTTATTGGAGAGGGCGCAGGAATTCCGTTTTTCTTCTTTGCCTATAAATACACTTATAATTCCTTTTTGAAGATAACTTTTAGATAATTTTCATTAGCTTAATTTTAGAGAGAGAAGTTAGATAGAAGTTAGAGAGAAGTTCTTGGTATTGGATTTGTATTTCAACATTGGATCAATTGTGCTTGGATTTCTTCATTTTCAATCATTAATGTTAGTAAGATTTTCTTCTTCTAGTTCATCTCTTACTTGATTGATTTAGTTTCATCTTTGATTGCTTGTATTGCTTGGATTTGAATTGGATATTGTAGTTGATATTGCTGTCTCTTGATTTTGATTTAGAATGATGATCAATGCTAATTCTAGTGATTTGTTCTTGAGTTACACCATGATTAGTGAATAGATTAGTTGCTAGGGAGAAGGGGAAGCATGCTTGATTGATAATTTGTGCTAGTTGATGATCTTTGATTGATTCAATTGTTGCAATTAAATTGGTTGACATAGTTTTTCTTGTGATTAATTAGATAAGAAATGATCAACCTATAAGATTAATCTAGATTGCATTGCATTTCTTAATGACATGACCACCAATTTGAGAATTGCTTTAATTGATTGAGTTTGATTGTGAACTTCCTTGATTAGCCATTCATAGTGACCCCTAGTTTGGCCGCTAGGAGATAGCTCTTGAACTCTCTTGATTGCTACTATTGTTTGTCCTTTGCAATGCTTGAATCAAACGAAGAAATTGTCGATTAGCACGATTATTGAATTAGCATGTGGAACCAATATCCCTAACATTTAGCTTATTGAATTACTTGATTAGTCTAATTTTGCTATCATAACACCAACCATTTTCTCACTTCAATCTCCGAAATAGCTTGATTTAGGCTAAAGATAACACCAACTATCTCCTTTGGGTTCGACCCTATACTTACCTATACTTGTTTTAGGTTGGTTTAGGATTTTATAAATAGTGTTTGATTTTGGGATAGGCAATTAATGACTAGTTTATTGCTCTATCACTTTACAACCCATGTTGTGTAAAATCAGAAACACTTTTAATGTGTTTTTTAAGGCTTTGTATTTGTATGATGACACTATTATTAGTGACACGTTGGTGGTAGGGAAGGTTCTATTGTTAATTATGGAGGAAGGGCCTCGTTTATACATCTTAACGTGGAAAAAAACTGAAACTTTTTGGCCTACAGTAAAACCTTGTAGTAGGCTTGTGGGTGTCTTTCTACCTATTGTTTGACTTTTGAATGGTGTTAAGTTGCTTGGTGATCCCGCTAATTCTGATTCTGGCTTTAGTGGTGAGCTTGTGATGCAGAGGGTGCCAAGACCATTGCGCTAATGGATAAGGTTGCTATGCTGGATGATCCTTAGTGTGAGCTGTTTTACTTAGGGTATGTACCGGAGTTTCTAAACTCTACTTTGCATTGCATACTTGTCCTCCTAGTACTTTTGAGGCGGCTCTGCGCACATTCAACGGGGCTCTTTGATCTTCCTTGGAGGCTTGGAACGTTACTGCTTGGGGGCTTGGGTTTGGCGATTAGCAGTGGCGACTTACCACCTTACCATTTGCATTTGAAGGGCTTGGTGTTTATTTTGTAGGGATGTTTGTCATTATGCTTTTCTTGCTTCTCGGTTATAGTTTGCTGGGTTACAGAATAAGCTTCTACGGCATGCAAGCATTGTTAGTCTTGGACGAGCCTTTGAAGATGCATTGAGTCTATTCAATGGAACGATGGAATCTGACATTTTGAGTAATCCTAGTAATATTGATGCCCTTAAAATCATAAAGAAATTGGCAGATATATATTTCACAAAGGTTACCGCTTCTACTGAATTTGTCTTTTCTTTATTTCCTCAACAATCAGCATTGTGGAAATCACAACAGGGAGATCACACCTCTGCTTGGCTTCGGACAATCCCTATTTCTAGGTTGGGTCAGACGATGAACGCTAAGAGTTTACTGATGTGTGCTGTGCTACCGGTTGAGCGTTCCATTATTTTTCTCTATCACGACGCCGTGTTCTGCTTGTTCAAGGGTTTTTATTAGGGATGTTTTTCGGTGATAACGCGATGTCGTGTGCTGGTATTGTGGGCATTAAATATCTGCATAATGTTGTCCGAGATATCTTTGTTGATGTTTGCTATCGGGTTAGGGATTTCATCTATGAAGGAGGTTAACATTGGGTAGTTTGGAGGGAACGTCTGGGCTCTCAAACCTGCATATGTGTTACTTTATTTTTGGGATCGTGGTCGCGATGTCTGTGTAAACTTGGTAGAGTCTTCTCCTTTGACATAGTCTGAGTTATCTAACTTTGTTCCTGGATGGGTTGTGGCTGATGCGACACATCGAAAGTATGTCAAGTACGAATCCAGTTGTCAGGCAATTAGATATGGCTTCCTTCCTTTCTCTTTCTTTTCACTTGGGGAATTAGAGAAGGAGGCGGTCGCATTATTGAAGCGGGTCCAAAAGTTCTCGAAGACTCAGAAATATGTTATGCTCTGCTATCTTAAAATTTGCTTTGCTCTTCAGAGATCTAATCTACTCTGCTCTGCCAGAAGCTTAAAAGATTAGGGCCTTATTGTAATAGAGAAGAGTGGCTCGATCATTATCCGAATTGAATTCATGTTATGTACAATTATTATAACTTCGAGATGAATTAACCAAATATTATAAGAGAACCTATTGAAAAAAAAAAAAAACAAAAAAAAGGGTACATCCATGATTTTGTCATGCAACCAACAAAGGAATTATTTGAGGATTTGACTCTTCCTCTATGCTATACATCAACTTATTTTCGTCAGCATCTCTCTTATTAAGTATCTCTTCTTCAGATTTTCCTTTTATCAACGTATAGAATCCAACTGCTATAATCAATCCTCCAATTACACTGCACAACAAGAATTATAGAATTTAATATTATCTATTAATTTTTTTGAAACAATATACTTGTAAATAAAATTTTAATTAGGCATATCAATCAATTAAATTATTTTATCTTAGTCGTTCTCCTCTCCTTTTTTCTCTTGGTCTTTCAAAACTCAAAATTGTTTTTGGATATTTTGAATAATAAATGAATTTTTAAGATAGGATGCAAAATAACATTTTAATCGAACAAGACGTCTACCTGCATATCCAACCCTAAAATGAGAGTGAGGGATAGCTCAAGTGGTTATAGATCCCCCCCCCGATTCCAGGAGATTTTGGGATCGATTCTCACCCCTGCCCTTGTGGCTCTCTAAACATCAAAAAAATAACACCCTAAATTCTTATTTTTCATATTAAAAAAAAAAACCTACATTGTTTGGGTGTATGAGCTTTCCTTAGTAGTATTTTTTTTTTTTGAAGCATTCCTTAGTAGTATTATGAATACAAGTAGAGGAAATCGAGTGGAAATTTTCCTCGTGTCTACAACAAATTGTGATACCATTTATCCAAAGAAGTTGTTGTACATTCTATCGATATGTGCGAGAGATAAACCAACAGTAAATACATCTTTTCATGATCTAATGAAGGAGATCATCATTAATTGATTTGAATGATTATGTATTTGCTATATCCATATTTATTGTATAAATGTCGTATGACTATTTATTAATAATATAATTTTACTCTAAAATATTATTTATCTAGAGTTTTGTTTGGGACATCTACAGATTATGGTCAAATGATCAGAGTTTGAGTTTCAAAGTGAACCAACAATGTAACAAGTTTAGTTCTTAATATATAGTACATGATAAAAAATAAAATCAAATTAAAGTCAATAATAAGCAAGGTATAAGAAATTATAGTACCTCCCAAGGTGTAGCACATCCCCAAGGAACAATGCTCCCAATACAACCGCGATAATCATTTGAAGTGGCTTAAACATTGCTATAAATACTGGTCCCTTCACTCTGCATGCCCATGTATCCACAATATTTAACGAACCAAATGTTACTGCCTGTTCAAAGTTTAGACAATATTTCAAAATGAATTTTTTTTAATAGGTTAAATGATATAGAGCAATAAACTTCCAAGTATATTTTGGTCTAATAAGAAAAGAACAAAATTATAAGAATTACCCCAAAGAGAATTGAAACTAGTTCGATACCAATTGTTGGTGTCCAAACGCTTGCATCATTTTCCACAAATAAAGTAACAATTGATACAATTATAGTCTCAAAGATAAATGTAATTAGTATTATTAGCACTTCCGAAGGGTAGTCCCTTGCAATCCAAGTCTGTAAAAAAGAAACAAAGTGATAAATAGCCGAAACATAATACACGTTGAGTTGTTGACCTTAGACATGTTTAAGGAAAAAAAGGTAATAGTAGTAAAAAAAAGAAAAAAAAAGGGTGTATTAACATTATATGACGTATGATTTTGTTACAAGTGTCAATAAAACACATGTATCTACTAAGTATTTTAATACTTTAATGAATTTGAAAAAAATTATTACCTTTGTTACATACGCGAATGAGAGAAGTAAGCAACTCATTGAGAGAAATGCTCCTCCGACAACCCAATTTGGTTGATTTTGAAGTTGCATTAGAGAATGGAGTGATGGTTTGGTAGGTGAAGGGAATATACTACTGATTGGGAGTCCTTGGTAGAAGATCACTACGAATGCTCCACTAATTGATACTATTGTTCCTATCAACTTTAGTATGCTACTTTGTGAACGTAGATTCAAAATCTCCATCCTATATTCCACAATTTTTATAACACGAAATAGATTGATAGATATAAAATATATTCATGGGCCTCAACTATCAGCTTAAACTTTTAGTTGAGTTGATCCTCTAACATGGTATCAGAGCCAGCATGACACAAAGGTCACGGATTTGAATTTCATCCGCCCCTCTTTCAAAGTGGAATTAATTTGCACCAGCTATGAGTGGGTCTGTGCTGCATCCACATTTCAAGCCCAAATATGTGAGGGAGAGTGATAGATATAAAACATATTTATGGGCCTCAACTATCAGTTTAAACTTTTGGTTGAATTGGTCCTCTAACATAGATTATCACATCTCAGCTCAACTTATTTAAGAAATTATGTATGATTTTATAACTAATTAGATTAGGCCACATCAAATTAAACCATGTTTTTGTTTTTTTTCAATTTGCATTTTCTTATTGACCACTAGTATGTATGTACATATAATTCCATACAAAATAATTATGAAAATACCAACATATGTATACAAATATTATTTGATACTTTTTTTTTTTTTTTTTCTATGATTAGCTTATAAAAAGTTTAAAGTTTAGTCAAATTAAAGAAATCATATCAAATCAGAAATGAAACAAATCATGTTAGATGAATTCAACACAACCTAAATTTTGCTCCATTTTTCAAATAAACTATGTGTGCCCATCCACATATGTACACACATATATATTAATTGATCTTAATATATAGTTACCTGAAAATGATGGCTATAATGAAAGTAAAACCAAGTGAAAGATTAATCATTGCTGATGCAAGTGTTGGTGAGCTATAGCGTAATCCAGTGTAGAAGAAGATCGAAACACCAAAACTGCATATGAATTCAGAGTAAAACTTTTCAATATACTCAAGTCGTGCAACCAGGGTGTATCTAAGATATTTGAAATGAAAAGTTTCCTTAGATGATCCTTGTATATGATTTTTATTTTTCACAGTTTTCAATGTATATTTTCAAAAGTAATGATAAATTAATATTTTAAAATTTTCACATTAGTATGAATATGTTTTCATTATTATCAATCAATCAATATCAATACTACATACTAAAAAAAATACTAGCAATGACACGTGTCATCTCCTAGTATATCCTTGGGTTTTTTTTTTTTTTTTGGTACAAAAATAAATTTTACAGAGTAATTATTTTTTTTTTGATAAGAAAATTTTACATGAACGATTTCCATAAAAATTGTTGAATTGTAAATTAATTCCCTATTTGTGTTGGTTTAAAAACTTATTCCCATAATATTGTCCACGTAGGATTGGAAAAAGGTTTGGTGTTTTTTTTTTACAAAGAACCGCTAACGGTAATAGCGGTTCTATACTTGTTATAAAACCGCTAATGTCGTCAGCGGTTATTATATTAAGTTTTAACTTGTGAAGTTTTCTTATACAAGCACCTAATACAAGAACTGCTAACGACATTAGCGGTTCTATAATCATAGAACCGCTATCATCGTTAGCGGTTCTTCGCCAAAAAAAAAAATTACCAAACCTACGTGGACAATATTGTGGGAATAAGTTTTTAAACCAACGCAAATAGGGAATTAATTTACAATTCAACAATTTTTAGGGAAATCTTCCAATTTTACATAGTATTAAACAAACAAAAACAAACAAATCTTATACAAAATAATTCCCTAATTTTATAAAATATAATTACTTAAATTAAAAAAGATTTGACATATAATTACTTAAAATAAAAAAGATTTGACATATCTTTGACACAAATATTTATATAGCTATAAATAAAAAGTCTTAACATAATTTTAAATATATTTTACATTCATTTTATATCGAGCATATCTTTTTTTTTTTTTGAGAAAATATCTAGCATATCTTTCGTAATCCTTTATTTTGATCACAATTTGTCAATTATGTTTTTTTGATTTTTTTCGTTAATAAAAAACTAATTATAGTCCTAGTTTAATAATAGATATAGAAAATTACCATGCATGCCACGAGAACTAACCTAGTATATTATATATCATGGCGAAAGTGACAAACCTTCATTATCATTCCTCAAATGAAATATATGTTACAGAATTATTTTTATTACAAATATATGGAGCAATGGACAACTAACCAAACATGGGCACGGGCCGTGCCGGCATGGGCCCGGCACGACTGCGGCACGACACGGCACGGCGGCCCACCTGTGGGCCGTGGACCGTGCAGTGAACACTTTTTTGGAAATCGGCACGGGCACGACACGTAGCACGGCGGGCGGCACGGTGGTCGACACGTGGGCCGGCACGCTGGCACGACCCGCCGGCACGGCACGACACTATTGTACACTATTGTACGATTTTTAATTATCATTAATTATTTTGTATTATTAAATTATCGTACATTCGTACCGGCTACCGTCATATAATAAAATAAGTTATTCTTCAATTTTTTGTGTTTTCGGATTATCGTACTCGTATTTTTTTTTATTATATGCATTGTTGTTTTATGCTAAATTAATAAAATTGTTTTTATTTGTTTATATAAACTTAAACATAATTATTAATTAGATAAATAATTTATATAACCTAAATTAAAATAAAGTTGTTCAAAAAATGTAAACAAATTATATTAACATAAACATAAATTAATCACATATATTAAGTTGTACTAAAAAAAATATATCGTTTAATTCGTTTTTTTTATTTATTAAAAAAAAAAATAAAAAGGATGGCACGATTTGGCCCGCGGCCCGGCACTAACTATACCCCCTCCCTACAAACAGTAGTGGAAAATTACCTCTTTTGCTCCGGTTAAGATTGGGGGTAGGGGTTAGCCACTAGCCAATACCAAGAGAAAATGGTGACCAAGTAATTTGAAGTAAAATGGATATGTGTATATAAATTATGTTATGTTTAATACTCTCTCCATTCTTTATTTTATCTTCTCAGTTATTGTAATATAAAATGAAGCAATAGGTGACCTGGAAAATTGCAGGTTATTTTTTTTGGTTCATTTTTTACGAGCAATTTTTTTTTTTTTGTTTTTTTTTTTTTTACACAACGAGCTAGATTTTTCGAAATAGGGGTACATAAAGTCAAGGGATCCCTATTTCCAATAAAATGAACACCTTTGAAAGCAACAATTAATTAAAAAAAAAAAGAAAAAAAAAAAAACAAACATAAAGTATGATTGTATTGAAAAGAAAGATCAATAATCATACTTGAGGATGGCAAGCAGGAATATCCGCAAAATTGTAGAGCATCCAATAGGTGGAGGTGGAGTTTTTCTGTTCAAATCCAATTAACAACCAATACAAACAATATTTTCAAAACTTTAGAAATGAATGAAATCTTAGCTTTGTATTTCAATCTCATTCCATATTTCCATCCGAAATTAATTGTTATTGATCACAATTATAGTGTAATTAATTCGGATTGGGTCAGAAGATGAAGGTAGGTATCAAAGAAAATAATGGTATAAGAACGATAATTGGTGAGAGGTTACTCGAGTTTAATTTGATCATTTACCAATATAGAAACATATCGAAGACATACCTATGATAAAGGAAAGCAGCCGGGATAAGAAAGAGTGCAGCGATGGCATGAGTGTAAGCAATGTAAACATAGTTGCTCATTCTCTTTGCCGTTGCTGCCTTGTTCAGTGTATTGCTAACCACAAACATCACTTCCATTGCCAATACTATTGTTAATAACTTTACTTCCCACATCTTTTTTCTCTCTTCTGATCTTGATTTTCTTCTGTTTTTTTCTCTCTATTCTAAGCTTAAGTTAAGTTTCTCTTCTTTCTCTTGATCTTCTCATCAAATTAAATGATTACAAACTAAAATTAATATATATCCATAATTTTGAAGTATTATTATGTAATTATAGTATAATAAAAAACTAAGATTAACAACCCCACATGGCCTCACTAATCAACAAAATTTATTATTGATTTTATTATTCGAATAGTCCGTAGGTTTAATTTGTCAATAATACACAATCAATTTTTAGGTAGGTCCACCAAATGCCTTATAAAAATAAAAATAAAAAATAAATCCGGCAGGTCCACCAAATGATTTCCCTAATGGAGATTAAAAAAATAGTCTATGATTGGAAAATTATACAGTTTTTTTCTTTTTAATATATATATATATATATATATATATATATATATATATATATATATATATATATATATATATATATATATATATATATATATATATATATATATATATATATATATATATATTTTGTTGCTGCTTAGAGAGCCACAAGGGCGGGTGATGAAAATCGATCTCATAATCTCCTAAAATCGGGAGGAAAGTTCTAACCACTTGAGATATCCCTCAATTCTTTAATAATATGGAATAACCCCTATTTTAATTAAACATTTTTTTTATTCATGGACAAAGTAACCCTTATTTCATTTTAATACTCCCTCCGTTTTTAAATACTTGCTCCGCTTTTCTTTTTCGGCCGTTTTTAAATACTTGCTTAATTTCCTTATTTGAAAAACTTTTACAATATTTAACTAATTTCTTTCACCTAATTGACCCACCACATATTTTCTCTCCTCCAATCCTCTCCACTATTGCTTTTTACAATTTTTATTCTTCCGCTTACCCCACAACCTCCATATATTATTATTTTCTCTCATTTCTTCTAAAACTACGCGCATGGAGAAATAGAGGAAGTATTTAAAAACGGAGGGAATAATGTTTTTAAAAACATCAAATATTTATATGTAATTAGCAATCTAATAAGCAGTGCTTTGTTGCCAATCAAAACAATAACCTCAAAAGGAAGGATTATTCCTTACGGAGTAAGTGGATCATGTTTTACTCATAATTACAAGTAGGGCGTATTCTCATATGTTTATTTTCAGTTCAGTTCAGCTCTAATAAGTTTAGTTCAGTTCAACTCCTAATTTCCTTCTCTTATAAATATTCAGTTCAGTTCAGCTTTAATAAGTTCGGATCAGTTCAACTCAGCTCTAATAAGTTATGTTCTGTTCGGTTGAGTTTAATTTAGCTCAGTAAAGTTCAGTCAATGAGAATAAGCCCGTAGTCATGTACAGTATTTGGGAGCTTATCTGTAATAACCAACATATCAACTGTTGTATTTTAGGGACTAATAAGCACCTCAAAAGGGAGGGCAAAAAGTATCCCTATTCTCATCCTGCGTAGTTAGACTACCTATAAGAAGTGTTGGTTTAATAGTCCTTACCAAAAATAAATAAATAAAAGGCACCTCATCAAAAGGGAGGGCTAAAAGTGCATTTCTTTGTCCTCTTAATATACATTGATGTGGTTAGAAGGGGCCATAAGAATTATTTTCCTGTCAAGGAAGCCTAAGTGAGTTCTTTGGAGCACTAATCCATGGACTACCTGCGACCGCGAATCTCCATAATGCATTTACATGCTCAGGCAAAGCATAATTAATGCCAACACGAGGACCAACTACTATCTTTTCAGGCTTTGGCCCGTCAAGAAGCTCTAAACCGCCTGCATATATCATAGAAAAATCGTCTAATTTCAGCCTGATTATGCAGATTTTAGAATAACAAACACGACAAAGGACAAGGTATCTTACGATATTCTTACCAGGCACATAAAGGGGATGATTTGACCATTCGGTTGATAATCCAAGTGCTTGTCCAACCTGTTCATGAACATTATAACCAAAAAGTTGAGAGGTGCACTTGGACTTGTTTTACAAAAATTGATTACCTATTAATAAAGGCCTATATTTAGCAAAAAATACTGCTTATCTATATCATATTATCATTCAACAAAAGGATGTCATGTTCATTACTTCTGGTTATCTCCATTAAAATAAATAAAAAAATATAAAAAAAAAATGCACAGATTCCCTCCTCCCTCAATTAGCCAGCCAGTTTATTTAAGGGTACATAACACCCCTGATGGCAGTTACAAGTAGTCGCCCAGAGACCAGATTAGACATGTTATACATGGAGTGCATTGCACATTATTACTGATAAATGATTGTTTCACCGGTGACTCAATGTAAATAAAGACGGCTAAACACGGGTGATGATCTTTGCTAAGAAAAAGTTCAACGCCTATAGGTAAATTAGTATTATTGTTAGGGGTGACAATATCATCCAAACCCGATGGATAACCATCCACCTGATCCAAATATATGGATGAAAACCCGAACTTAAGCGGATAACGGATGGATGATGGATGGATCGGGTAACGGATCGAGTCAGATACGGATGATGATACATTCAACCCATCACCCGACCTATCCATCCACCCGTTAAATTTATATATAAAATAAAAAAATAAAAATAAATATCTTTTTTAATAATTTAATGTCTATTGTAGTGTTAGGAATTGACATTTGTTTTAATTTAGTTAAAAGGATCAAGTATTAGAAAGATGTATCAAAGTTTTAATAAAATTGATCACTTTTTTTGTCAAATCTTGATTTTAGTTATGAAAATGAAAACTTATATTTATATATTAATTTCACCAGAATTATCACCCGATCCACCCGATTCATCCATGGATGACAGATGGATCGGATGTGGATGAAAAAATATTAGGTGATGGATGGGTCGGGTGATGGATGGATCGTTGGTGGATGGAGGCGGATGAAGCATTACCCAACCCACCTCCGATCCATTGCCATCTCTAATTATTGTCCCAGAATGCCTCTTAGGACACTCCAAGAGTACAACATTGGTGAGTTTAATAAATCAAAGAGAAATGCAAAAGTCGGTGGTGCATGCATTTGAAAAAGAATAAAGGATTAGATCAGATAAAGGTGATAAAAAATCGGGCCAGGCCAGGTCTTAACATAATTGTTCGTGCCCATACTCGTAAAAAAGTAGCGGGCTTGTGAGGCCAAAACAGGCTTTTCGGGCCGGGTTCGGACTTTTTAATTAAAATTCCGTTTTTAAGCTTGCCCAAACCCGCCCTGTTTTCGGGCGGGCCGATGTTGATCACCTCTAGATCAGATGTAAATAATACTTGTATCATTTAGTGTCTGATGTAGATGAAATAGAGAACTAGGCTACATGGGTCATACTAAATATTCCGTATCTAGGTATCATGGCCTGCCACAAGGAACATATTTCAATTACTTAGGGGTCGTTTGGTTCGCACGAGAGAATCGGAATGCAATGAACAAAGGGAAAGGAGAAGAATGGAATGAAAATACCCTATTTTTGCTTTGTTGTTTGTTTTTAAAACAAAGGAATCATTCACACCACCACACCACCACCACCACACATTTCATCTTTCTCAGCCACCAAACCCCTCATAGGCCCTCCCCCGCCCCTCGCCGGCTATCCCCCTACCCTCGTCGCCCTTCCCCTCGCTTTGCCGCCGCTAATCGCGTGAGCCTTGACCACCCCTCCCTCGCAAAAACCACCCCTAGCCCCGCAAAACCCTAGCCCCGATCTCCCTCTCCCTCGAAACCGTCGCCTGGCCCTCCAACCACCCTCGAAGCCCTAGCCGCTAGGGTTTCGAGGGTGGTGGGAGGGCCAGGCGACGGTTTCGTGGGAGAGGGGGATCGGGGCTAGGGTTTTGGGGGGCCAGGGGTGGTTTTTGCGGGGCTAGGGGTGGTTTTTACTGGGGAGGGGGCGCAGCGGTGGTCGGGGGAGGCTCGGCGGTTGTCAGGGTAGGGGCGGCAGTGGTCTGGTTTTCCGGTGGTGTTGGTAGGTGTGAAGGAGGTGATGTGGTGGTGTGAAGGTGGGTAGGGAAAAGGAATGGGAAAGTCTAGGGAGGTGGAGAATGGAGTTGGAAGGATTTGGAATAATAAGGAGGGTAAAGGGAATGATTTAAAGTGCTAAACAAACATCAAACAAAGGGAATCGAGTCAGTTGATTCCCATTCCCTTTCCTGATTACCCCCAACCTAACAGCCCCTTAGTATTATATAGTTCACAATCCTTCTCATACTCTGTTGAAGAGATTTGCAGTTGTTTGAGGTGTTATATGCAATATAAAGAGGACCATATGTGATGCTTTGATGTGGAGTATATCTTAAGGTCTTCTGCTTATTAATGATACTAACAAGAATAGAACATAGAAATTCACAGAGGTCCATGAGCTACAACAAAATGAAATGGACAAAGAAAGGAGAAGCATGGCCATGAAGTAATCAGTATTAAAAGTTTTTCTATTTCCAGGGACGACAATGACCGCATAATAAATATATAAGCAGAATACAAAATGTGTATACCACTGATTTTGAGCATTTTTTTGAATAAATAGATGGTAAACGTTGCAGACCTAGCATTACAAAATTCTAAATCATGTGAATGTATCTCGAATGTCACCCCTTACCAGAAAACTAAAGGAAATATAGAACTTTTTATCATCTTTTTCCATGTTAATAAGAAATAGAGCTTTGCAATAATATGATTTGAACATTACAGTAATTCATTTTTTATATGATGGTCTTTGAAATCATACTGTGTGATTGCTAACAGTTTAGATTAAAAGATACCCTTTCTGACATCAAATGGCAATACCATTAAGTGATGCTATTAAGCATTTACTTATAGCCAACTTAATGAAAATAGGGACTGTAAAGATTGGCTGCTGACCTTTCCTGGCCCAGCAAGAAGAACAACAGGCTTATCAGTAATCTGACCACGACGCTGCTGAATGGTTGTCAAACCTGCAACATTAAGCCACATAATCAAAACACTATCCATCTACTGATTAAGGATTTTAGGCTGCAATAACCTTGACTCTCATCACCTCTCCTTCCCCACTATTTTATACTATTAGAAAATTATGGAATGCTCTTCTTCATCAAAGATTCGTTCTTGTTGTCTTGTACAAAAGATGAGTATTGAGTATCATACTTGCATCCACCAACGAAAAATAAAGAATCGATAGAATAAACCAGACTTGAAGGACCAATACCGTCTGAATTTCACATTCAACCAACTACATAACATGTATCATGAAATATCACATCACATAGCTACACTTGCATAGCATCATGCTAAAAGCACAAAGATATAACATGTACAAGCAATATATCTTGTCCATGGGATGAGTATTGAATATCATACTTGAACGAAAAAGAAATATTTTATAGAATAAACCAAACTTGGAGGACCAATACCTTCTAATTTCCACATTCAAGCAACCACATAACATGTTTTCATATAACATGATTTCACATAACAACACTTGCATAGCATCAAGCTAAAAGCACAACGATATAACATTGACAAGAAATTACCGCTAACTGGAGCACAAGAACGTATCAATACAGCAGCTCCAACACCCTCCTTATCAGCAACAATATTAAGCATCATGTGAAGACCATAGCAAAGATACACATAAGCATGCCCACCTGGTCCAAACTACCCAAATTGCACAAGACAAACAAACAAGATTCATACTTCATTAAAAAGGTATAAGTTCTTAAGTTGCCTAGCAGTTCTAGCTGTTCACAACATTCTTATCTTACAACAGGAGCTGTTCTAGCTGTAACGCCGAAGCGACCATGACATGCTGAATCATTCGACCTATACGCTTCCACCTGCAAAATTTAACCACCCATTCCAGCTTAGGAATTGCCTGAAAACCTTGACACAACCTTCTCCAGAAATTGGGTCTTAAACTAACCCACAAACCAAATTGATAATACAGAGAAAATCCCCCCCCCTGGCCCCTCCCCCCCCCCACCCCCCCCCCCCCCCAAAAAAAAAAAAAAAAAAAAAAAGGGAATTTGATCATGATTTTATGACCCCTAAAACTGAATTCAAGGACATTTTTTACAGTTTAACAAAGCAAGAAAAGTAGTACTAGAGCAATTTTCCATTTCGTTGAGTAATTTTGTCAAACAGTTGGTGTGCTTAATCAATAACAAATGAAATCCCACCTCAGTTATCTGAAGTATAACATCGTCACGACGAAGAAACTTGCCGAGAAGAAGTGGGGCAAGATCAAGAGCATCAATGGAGCAAAAATCGGGCCCTAAAATAGCCAAATTCTGGTAATTAATCTGAGAATTGTTGGAAATTGGAAGTTCAGGAGATAATTGGGTTTTCAATTTGAATTTGGCCTTGGATGCGCGAAAGTTGACTTTTGATTGAGATGGGTTTTCGTCGGAATTAGATTTAATGCGACGCTTTGATCGTTGAGGTCTGGTCATTGAAGCGCAACTTCGCCGGCGATGAGAAGGGAGGAGTTGAACGGTAGTCGGGTAAAGAAGCATAAACTATGTTAACAAAGATACGGATTTATTTTTATATTTTTGGCGGGTGTTCATAATGAGGTACCCGTTTGTTACCTGAAATTGTTAGGCACTATAGCATTACCGTTGTATTATTTTTTTTTTTATTATTTTTTTTTAATAAGAAAATTACAAAAGTTAGGTAAGTCTTCTCTCAACGTTGTATCCTAACTTATCTAAAGAAATAAAATAAGAGAACTTAGCATCTACATTTAGGGTCAATGTTTATACAGCCTGTAATTTGATGGCCTATAGCTGCAACATAATTTGCTACACGATTAGCTTCTCGATACACATGGCAAGAGAAACAACCTCAAAGTGAGCCAACAACTTCTTGATGTCGTTCATGAGCAATTGAATTTTCCTAGGACAACGTGCTTTATCCTGCAAAATATTTATAATTAAAAGGTTATCATCTTCAATAAAAAGTTATCGTATATTATGTTCAACAGCTAAGAGAAGACTGTTACGGAGAGCTGTAGCTTCTGCAATAATAGGAGTCGAGGTACCAAGATTATAAGCACGACTAACTACATTATTTCCTGTATAATCTCTAATAACAATTTCGGCTGACCCAAAGTTATTACGAACAGAACCATCAAAATTAATTTTGAAAACACCAGAGGCAAGAGGGGACCAAGCTACTTGGATGATTTTATGGTAAAGAGGAGAATGGGTCTTAGGAACAATGGCATTAAAAGAATCAAGATGAGAACGAATATTCCATTCTGTAAATATTTTGAAAGCTCTACAATAAAAACTCATAATAGTAGTGGGGGATCGATTAAGAATAAGAGCATTATGACCTTTCCATATACTCCATAAAGAAACAATAATCTTTTTTATCGGAAGGTTAACATTATGACGAATATCCCGAAAAAAAGCAAGGAGATTCGGGGTATTAACATGAGTTCCCATTCAATAAGTGACGATATCTGCATCCCAATACTGTCTAATAAATGGACAATTTAGAAACAGATGATCCTGTGTTTCAGCATGTGAATTACAAAAGGGGCATAAATGAGGGACATTAATATTACGGTAAATCAAATTATTACTAGTTGTAAGACCATTATGTAGTAGTTGCCAAATAAATATCTTTAGTTTTGGAGCAATATCTAGTTTCCAAATCCAAGAAAATTCCCATTTTGCAGGAAAATTAAAATTATGAGCTAACAGATTGCCGACTTAACTGTAAACTCTCCTTTACCAGATAAACCCCAACAGGGATCATCTAAAAAATTATTAACTGGCAAAGGAATACCTTTAATGGTCTGAACTATGTGAGGAGGTACCGGTAAAGAAAGAGTAGCAATATCCCAAGAATGATCTTCAATAGTATATTGATCAACCATAAGGTCTAGATTTTGAATATCAGAAATATTTAAATCAATAAAGTAACCAAATTTGTAGATGAACACCAATTATCTAGCCAAAAAAGAATATTTGAACCTGATCCAACTTTCCATCTCAGCCCCTTAAGAAGAAGAGGGCGAACTTGTAAATTTTTTCTCCAAATCCAGAAGTCCTTAGCATGAGGTTTACACTAAAAAAAAGAGTTATGTTTGAAATATTTAGCCCGAATAGTACGAACCCACAAATTATTGTAATCCAAGATTATTTTCCAACCTAATTTAGCAAGGAGGGCAGAGTTGATTGCTTCTGTTTTTTCTTAAACCTAATCCTCCTTGACTTTTGGGTTGACAAATTTTGTCCCAAGAAATCATGGGGAGGCCCTTTTTATTCGGAGATTGTTTCCAAAAAAAAATTACGGTTAATTTGATCCAAAGAGTTAGTAATTGTTTTAGGAAAACACACAGAAGTCATAGCATAAGAAGGAAGAGCTTCCAAATGACTTTGAATTAAAACAGTTTTACGTGCCTTTGAAACTGAGTTGACAGACCAGTTATTCAATTTGTTTTCTGCTTTTGCTAAAAGGTGATGAAAATTCTGTTTAGTAAAAGACCAGAAGTTAAAAAGGACCCCTAAATAACGGCCAAGGAATGATTTAGGAGTCATATTGAAATAACTTTCTAAATTAACTTTTCTAGAATTATTTACTAGCTTTGAAAAGACTATAGAGGACTTATGAAAATTGATCAATTTCCCGGACATTGAAGAAAATTCATTAAGGATATCCCTAAGATTAGCACATGCTCTAGATTTGGCCTGACAAAATAATAAACTATCGTCTACAAACAGTGAACAAGGGATGACCAGAGCAGATGGGGTAAATTTGAGACCAATGCTAGATGATTTATCTAATGATTGTTGAAGTAATTTTCGAGCAATAACTTCTACAAATAACAAAGAGAACCGGAGATAAAGGATCCCCGTGACGTAGTCCTCGAGTGATTAATTCTGTAGAGTTTTTATTTACATAACCCAAGTAAGAAACCGTAGTGACACAAGACTTGATCCATGTAATCAAAGTTTCATTAAATCCAAAAGCTTTTAAAGTATCCCATAGGAAATCCCATTCAACCCGATCATATGCTTTTTCCATATCTAATTTTAAGGTTAACCATCCTGACTTATTTTTGGACTTATTAAACATATTTAAGATTTCTTGGACCAACAAAACATTATCTTAGATTTATCTTTCCGGGGCAAAAGCATTTTGATATGGTCCTATAACTTTCTTTAAGAATGGTTTAATTCGATTTACTAGGAGTTTAGCTATTGCTTTATAAATTGTAGTACAAAGACTAGTAGGGAGAAATTGATGTGCCTTATTTGGATTGTTAGTTTTTGGAATTAGTGTAATAATCGTATGATTAAGTTGTCTTAATAATATACCACTATGAAAAAACCTTTTATTGCTTTACAAATATCCATTCCAATAATAGGCTAATAATATTGGAAAAATTTCGGCCCAAAACCATCCGAACCTGGAGCTTTATATGGAGACATATCGAAGAAGACTTGTTTGATTTCTTCATCTAAAAAAGGTTGCGTCAAGGTTAGATTGTCTTCACAAATAATACATGGTTGTATCCAAGGAATGGAAATATTACGAGGGCATGTATGATCTGACTTGAATCTATTTGAAAATTCCTTAAAAAATAAACGAGTAATATCTGTTGGGTTCTCAACCCATTGATCAACTTCATTACATAGTCTGAAAATTTGAGTTTTTCTTTTTCTTATTTTCATTGATTCGTGAAAAAATCTTGTATTTCAACACATTGTGTTAACCAATTTTTCCTGGCATAGTTGCCCCAACATTTTTGGCCAAAAGGAGTAGTTTTTCACGTTGTTTAATTAGACGACTTAGATGTTGTTCAATATGATGATTTTCGGGAAATTGTTGAAGTTGTAGTTCCACATTTTGTAATTTATCTTGGTTTATAGTCAATTTATTTTGAATGTTCCCATACTTATGGAAGTTCTAATGTTTTAAATCAATTTTTAGTTGTGTTAATTTCTGCATGATACAGTAAAAGCGAGAGCTTGAATATTTTTGTTTCCAATTCTTTAAAGTCAAATTCTTAGCCTCAGGGTCCAATGTCCAAGCATTTTGGAAACGAAAAGAAGATCGATTATGTGTACTAGAATTGTCCACATATAGACAAATAGGGCTATGATCTGAGCAAGAGAAATATTCGTAATATAAAGTTGCATATGGGTAATTTTGTAACCAAGAAGTACTTACTAAACATCTATCTAAATGTTCGTAGACAATATGATTATTTATTTGTTTTTTCCATGAGAAGGTTGTTCCTCTAGGAGGAATATCTATTGCATTATGTAAGTGAGCAAAATGTTGTAGTTTCAAACATCGATTAAAGGTAGGAAGAGTACCTCCTCTTTTATCAACCATACATAATAATTCATTAAAATCTCCGATAATACACCAAGGGGAAGAACAATAATTACGAATTAGTGAGCTAAAACTTGTTATAAAATTCCAAATTTTCCCCTTTTTGAGCAGGGGCCTAAAGACCAAAAAGAGAAAAGCATGCGTTAGTCTTTTTATCTATCACAAACAAATGTGTGTAGACACCCAAATGTGTCTCCCCAAAACCAAACCCAGTGATGAATACCTTTCACGTCATTTGATTATCGAACAAAGCGAAAGTGTGAAAAGTCTAGTGATGAGGATATTTTTATTAAAATATCTCTTCTCTCTGTTTTTTAAAACCTTATTTATGAAAAACAGCCAATCCAGTTTGGTTTGGTCCATAGCAAGGGTCCAATACTGGTGTATTTGGATGGGGCTTGAAAAGAGCTTTCCAACGATATATTATAAGCCTAATTTCGATGAATAATGAGGAAGTTATGACCAAATTACTAAACTGGGTCTGGTTTGATCCTTATATGCGGCCCAATGATCTAGAGGAGGGCCTAATATGTATTTATTATTCCTAATGCAATTAGAACTGATTTTAGTCTTCTAGATTCTTCTAGAAGGTTCTTTTCATTCCTAATTCAATTAGCATTGATAAATTGACTTTGGTTGACTTTTTGGAGTTTTAATCAGAATAAAAGAGTGTTTTAAGGAAAATACGATTTTGCCCTTCTTTACGGGTAAATTTTATCAGAATTAAGAAAATGCGTGAAAATAATTGTTAGTGCCTGACAAAAGGGTTAGCGCCTGACGCTAATGCTTGGCGCCTGGCGCTAATGTTCAGCGTCTGGCGGTAACTTGTTATATTCTCGTCAAAACTCTAATTTGTTTTTCTATCCGTTTGGCTGATTTTTTCTATAAATAGCCTCCTAAAACCTCCATTTGTCATCATTAAAAAACCCATCAACAATCAAATATCATATATTCTCTAGTTTTCTTATTCTCTCTAGTTTTTAAGAATTTCTCTCTCTCACTAACTTTCTATACAAAATTCCGCATTCACAAGATCTAGAAGCACCTAGCCAAATTCGAAAATGCCTTCGCCCTAGACGTCAATTATTCTACCCTATGGCACCGGTTAACCGGTGCCTATTAAACCCTATGGCACCGGTTTTGAACCGGTGCCAAATAGGGGGTTTTTGGCACCCCTCAAATAGGCAGCGGTTCAAACCGGTGCCTTAGACCGGGTTTGAACCGCTGCCTAATGCGTTTTTTCTACTAGTGAATTTAATTGTTTGATTTATTATTTTCCTTGAAGTTACTAACGTGTGTATTTTGTTATTAGAAAGAGATACGAGGCATCCAAGTAATTGCTTTAATTGATTTATTGATATTATGATATAGAAATCATGCTTAGCTTGTTATTATGATTCCTAGTGTCATGTTAGGATGTTTTGATCTTCCTAGTATCATGTTTAGGGTAATAACTATAATTTCTAATATCAAA